TTTATGCAGCCAACCCCCCTGCCACTGATAATGTGATATTCCTTGTCTTTACTAGTTTGAATCCAGTAAAAAACGCTAAAATAAATAAAGTTAAAAACTTTAATTTTCCTACTGAATTCTCCAGTTGCAACAAAGAGGTTGCAAGATGAATAATTAATGTCTATCAATATGATAATATTTAAAAAGCCCTCAGAAAATCTACCCAACAACAGAACTAATGCCACCACATCATCCATCTGATGAATCACACTGTACTAAAGGTCATGAAATGTTTAATGGACAAAAATAGGAGGAAAGAAGAAAATAGGTTCCCAAACTGAAACCTATCACCAAAAATGATCTATCACCAGGACCCTGCCATTTAAACCTGGGGGGGCATTAGTTCAGAACATCACAACTGCTGCTTTTAAAAGAGGGAAAGGCAGTTTCTTCAGTAGCTAGGACTCAAAACATTTAGGACTTCATAGGTCAAACAAAATCTATAGTTACAGAGTGGTTAGATCATAACATGTTGCAAATTTATAGCTTGAAGGGTAAAAAATTTCAGCACAAACTTGATTAAAAAGTAATTTTCTCTTACTCACAAGGGGCTCTGCCATGATGATGCGAATCTTGCGCTCAGCCTGTGTTGTAAAGTTAACAAACAAGCTCTTCAGGACATATTCGCCTGGTTTACTGTCTGGGTCAACACTGATGGGCAACATGGCTGGAGGTCCCTTTTCCCTTTGTGTGCCAGAAACAGGTGGAACTGTTGGTTTGATGTATCCGTTACCAACTGGAGGAGCTGAAATGGATAAGAGACAAATTCATTTTCACAAATCCTATATCCCTTGATTTTTTTCTCAACAGTGTTCTAACACAGTGGTTCTAGACCTTTTTTATACCAGGACCCATTTGTAAACTTTGATGGCCAATTCTGACCCAGTACCCCTCACTCCTGACCCACTCCTTCCCAGGCCCCAGGCCCTCAGTGTGTGGGACAGGAGGTGGGTATGTGGGGCAGGGAGGGCCCCCAAGCAGCCTCTTGCAGGCTGGAACTCTGACAGCCTACAAGGGAAAAGACACGGTTTCCCATGTTTTTCTCCATTTTTAAAGTTTGTTGATCCAAGTTTAAAGTTTGTTCACAACCCTTTCATATATTCTTGCAACCCACTTTTTGGTTGTGACCCATGGGTTGAAAAACACTGTCTAACATATTATCTTAACAGTAAAACAAAGCAAGAGCTTAGTTGATCACTGAAAACTATAAAACTATATATTAAGGAAATTAGTTATATAAACTGAGCAGGGTTATATTAGTCTTGTGGTTTTTGGTGGTTCCAAACCTGTATATTAGTTTTGGGATTCCCAAACTGTATGATTTAGATTATTATACGGAACCAGAGATGAAATCTATTATCTTGTGGTTGGGTACAGCCAAGTCTGCATGTTCTGCCCTACACTGTCTTTGACATGGTGAGGCTTGCTATCATTCAGGACTTTTACTGACACTCAGCTCTCTTATCCCATGCAAGATTTCTATAGTTCAGTTGTTAATTGTTCATTTTATTCTTTATTGTTATCTGAAAGGCTTGGCTCTCATAGCTGCCAAGAGCATAGCTTTTTAGTTAAGAATGTAAAATAGAAAGCCTGATTCTCCTCTCACTGATTCTGATGGAACTCAGGAATAAATCCACTGAAGCCAATGGAGCTTTGCCAGTGTAAACTCTACAGAAAAAAACCTCAGACCCAAAATATTTTCTCTTGCCATCAGAAAAATCTAGTATTGTATCAGTTCACCTGAGAACAAAAACATGTTGTTGTATTAACATTATTTATCAACCCATAATAAGCAAGACAATATGCATTGCATTCAGCTCTGCTCCTGTTTCTTATGACAAAGCAGAACTGAAATAAAAACAAATGCTCATACTTGCCTCTCTATGCATGGAATTCCTAAATTACAGTTCCCAGGCCCTGAGCTGGAAGTGGCATAACTTTTATTGACAAAAAGTGACACATTTGATTTTGTAGGATGCTGCTGGCTGCGTTTTCTAACCATTCATTTCACCACCTGGGCTAAAAAGTAGTGCTAATCAGCAACACTGGAAGAAGTTCAGCTGCCTTTCCTCCTGTAATTCAGATGCCATAACACCTATGAGCAGCTGTGTAGGTGGTGCAGAGAGATTTTAAATAAAATATCAAGTGACAGAAAATGTGCAAGGCTGATAATGTTTCTCAGTCTTGCTGCATTCTAAAGAGAAGTTACTAAAAAAATACATGCCTGCCTTTTGTGTTCACTTTGTCAGGCTCCAAAAAAAAGACAGAAAGAAAAGAAGAGAGGAGTTCAGATGCATACTTTTCAGATAACCAGTGATGTGTACTGCACATCTAAGATTAGAATTTGGCCTCTGGCATTATATAGCATATGCTCTTCCGAGATAAATTTGCATTATTTCTCCTGAAATGACTTTTAAATATTAACCAATTGAATTTATCAGAAGAACAAATGAGATTTGATATGCTGCCAATGCATTTTAACATCTTATTTCTGCAAGGTTCTTACCACCCTTAACCCTCAACGACTTCAGTAGCATATGACTTGGCAGAATTAGGCACAAAATTTTTACAATGAAGTGCATAGAAATGTACTGCAGAGCAGGAAACAGTCTTTCTTTAAATATTTGATTTTGCAAAAGACCGTTACAGGACATAAACATTAAAAAAGTAAATTCCCTGTTTTGTATATGTCAGAACAGCTGTTGTACTTAAGGGGATGTCACCCATTCAATTCATATTGCACTCCACTAAGAATGAGTCCCTTAATCAACAAGATATGAGATCATACTCTAACACAGCAATCACTGATTCTTTTTTCATCCAGTTTTCATTCTCATTAAGCTTAATTTGATTGCTTAGTGTTCCATTATAATAACTGAGCTATGCTGGGAACATATGGTCCTTATAACAAATCATACCTAGACCTCTTTTACATTGATATTCTTCAAGACTAAAAGGAGGTGCACATCATATACTTCAGTTATTGTAAACTAAAACAAACCTCAAGTTCATGAAAAAGTAAACAAACAGTCATAAAAATATAAACACAATCCCTCTCCTGTCATCATTTAGGACTGAGCAAAGAATAAAGAATAATGAGATACAAAGAAATATAGGCTATGAAGTCTATCAGAGCCAGATCTGAAAAAAAGAACCTCGGTACCTAATGTACCAATTAAACGCAGCCCTCTAAATCCTGCTTAAGTGAGTGATTTTACAAAACCTATTTAGGCCCACCAATTTCTGCTGCTGTACCTGGCCAGAGGTGCATATGTCTTAGTTGAGCTATACATCCAGGGGACTATCTCAGACCTAAGACAATTCGGGGTTCATAAACTATGCATTCTTGTGCCCAAGTGCCTCAAGGAGCTCTGTTGAGATCATGCCTTATGAAATAACAGGAATTTGTTTGGCAGAAAACAGAACAACAATAACTACTTTCACTCAAAAACATAGCCAGAACAGAAGTAGCTGTTGGTAGCCATCTTTTATCTAGCTGCATACTAGCTCCATGTTGTCAACATCCCTCTTGAAGTGTGGCACCCAGAACTGGACGCAG